AAAAAAGGGAAAGAGAGAGGAGAAGAGAGAGAGGAAGAGAGAGAGAGGAGGGAGTGTGTGTGTTGGACGGTTTTGCTTACAAAGGAGCACCATTCAGCTGAGACGTCCACCTGAATGAGGCGAGCTGAGACGCACTGCCCGATCAATAAACGGATACGAGCATCCCAGCCTGCCGAGCTCAGCAAAAAAAATAAAAAAAAGAGGGGCAGCGCGGATAAAAAAACGAGGGGGTGCAGAAAGTGAACCTCATCCTGTTGGTCCAATTCCTCTCCTTCTTTTTACTCTGATTTCATTCAACACCCCCTCACCAAAAACACCTCCAATCCAATGGCAGCCCCCTCTTCTCCCTCAGTGTCTCCCTCCCTCCTTCTCTGCAGCAGACTAGAGCGCAGTCAGCTACTACGGGGACTGCAGTGTTACGCTATAGCACAAGCAGAGAGCTGGAGAGAACCAAAGGAGGGGGAGAAGTCGAAGAGGGCGGGAGGGAGAGGACGAGGAGGGGGTTGGGGGGACTGAATTGCGATAATAAGCAATCCAGCACTCAGCTCTAAAATCGTGGTAATAAAGCAGCACAAGCTGTCAGTGGTGATGACGAGAAGAAAAGGACAGGGGAAGGACTGTATAGGCTAAAGCAGATGAGAGGAAGACTGGAAGGAATAGAAGGACAGGAAGGAAATCGAAAATCTTGCCACCGTTGCAAGGATGCTTCATATACTCGGAAAGCCAAATGAACCATTGCTTTTTTTAAACATCTGCCTTTTCTGTCTACTTCAACCGAGACGTTGGCGGGTAAGAGCAGCTTCGTCCTCATCGTTCTCCAGCAGGCCAATCATCTTAAAACCAAGCCGGCCGCATGACCCCGGCCAACCTGAATGCTACTGCTGTGCTGGCTGCCCCCTCCATACTTTGCAACCTATCTTTATGTCAACACGCTGGCACAGAAACTATTGACTGCAACACTTTCAAAGTCACCTCAGCTGTCACACGGATTCTCCCCCATCCCCCCACCATGACACAACCCTGGTATTAAATTTGGCCATTTTTTTTTTTACTGTCAACACCCTTCTGTTTTTCAATAAGTTGTTTGGCTGTCAATTTGTTTATGACCTTGTTGAGTTTTAACCATTAAAGAGATGCAGGAGCTGAACAAAAGATGCAACAAAGTCAAAGAAATTAGCATTCCTCATAAATGGTGTAGATACTCTCCACCCATACTTAATAGTAGATCTTTACCTTTTGCTTGTTCCCTTAGCATTTGCTTTGAACCAGTGGTTTTCTACCTCCTGTTGGGGCTGAACATGTATGAGTATATCTGAACATGACCGAAAAATACACAAACACATACACATGTTATCAAGCTTGCTGATATCATCTGAAAGTAAGTGGCAGTAGGTTCTAACCCAGGCCCTTCCTGCACATCTTCCCCTCCCACTCTTCCTCTCCCTTTTCAGGTTTGACTATGTAATTAATCACAAAATAACAACAACAATGAAAAGGAAATCTAAAGACACCAAAGAGACACTCTTTGTGTGTAAACAATGTTTGAAGCACATGAAAAATGACTGAAACCTTTAATGTAAAGGCTGCTTAACTGTGCACAATTCTAAAAATGCTCTCAGTTCACCTTGGAGGTAGACAGAGCTGCATTGAGCAGCTACAGTGCAGTGTTGCTGCACATTTCAACTGCGTTTGCTGCAGTTTTCAGTCATCGGTCTGAGGACTGGACATTCACAGTCTGACTTTCTTCAAGAAAACCACATGACTGAAGTCAGACATAGGATGTTCATTAACTCTTTGTGCTTATACCTACGAAAAGTAGTACCCTAAAATGTACACAAACCCTGTGAGCCAAGTAGGGTATTCTCGATACCTTGAGCATCTGCACGAGAAGCAATGACTTTCAACGTACTCAAAGGTTAACACGTACTGTATTTGGCAATAAAAGACACTCTGAGCAAACTGCTCTTGCCATCCAACATGTGGGAAGTCAACTCATGGACATAGTAGAAAGACTGATAGAGTCCACCTAAGGCTGTGGTAGTGGCGATGAATGAAACAACACAACAGTCAACTTTGGGTATTTATTTAACCCACACCATAATGTAGTAGTAGTCCTGGAAAAGGATATTTCACTTAAAGCATACATTAGAATCGTGTCATTTACTAAAAAGTAAAAAAAATACTAAAAAGTGTAAAGGCAGACAATTTCTTCTTCCAGAGTCAATAAGCAGTCTCTGTGTATATGGCAGAGTCCACAAAAAATACACCTAACTCTCAATGATCCAGGTCAGCGCTGGCTCTGCAAATGGACATAGATTTTTGAAGCTAATTAAGCAGAGGGAGACGAGGAAGACATGAGTGAGAGATGGGAAACTGATCGCACAAGCGGACAAAATGATGAAATTGGGTTGGCGGAGGCAAGTAAAAGCTGAATCACAAAAAAAAGTTGATTAAGCTGAATCCTGTGGGCCCCTCCTCAACCGTGACAATATGGCCAAGACCCTCAATTGTTGAGTTTCACAACTGAGGTAGCTGCATTCCAAGAAACCCAGAACCGGTTCTCTTGTCCACAGAAATGATCCTAACAATTGTCATGTACGCTAGTAAATCACTTTTGAGGTTGACATTCAAACAGGCCTTGTTCAGGTTCCCCTGACCAATTGGAGTTGACTTGACTTTGATGTGTATGTAGTTACTCTCTTTTAACTCTACCAGAATACACATGATGACAGTAGAGCCACACAATCTTATTTTAGCAAGAATGGCTGACAATTCAGTAAAGTACAGGGAAAATTTGAGTCCAGTAATCATAAATAATGTTAAAGCTGTGAATATGAGAAACCATTGAAATGGCTGATGGATCTCAATGTCACCTGGAAGGAAAAAGAAACCCCATGAAGCTTGAAGCTTCAAATACAGCCATAGTCTGGGATCAAGGTGATATAGTGATATGTGATATACAATACCAGACAAATGTTTGGACACACCTGATTGAAATGCATGTTATTATCTTAAAGACATTTTAATCCAAAGGCTTATGCTTCAACGTTTGCCAGGTCTTATGTAAATAGAAATAGTGAAGTTGATGCCTACGTATCAATGCATTTCTTTCCAAAACAAAAATGAAATGTTTTATTTTTATGTTTTTAATATCTACTATTATTCTAAAATGTGGAAAAAAAGTCCAAATAAAGAAGAACCCTTCTAGAAGGAGATGTGCCCTACATACAGCTTACAGTTTGAATAATAATAATTGATAATACTATTACTGTTGTGTGTCCAAACCTGTGTAGGTCATAAACCTATGCTGCAATCTTTATTATTAGCTTTCCTACATTGTCTATGCCTATATACTGTATATGCATATGCATTTGTTACTTTTCATTGGATCTTTACTGATGCCTATTTCAGCACCATGGACAGAGAGAGGAGGTCAAATTATCATCAAAAATAAATAAAAATGCAGTAAATGACATGCTGTTTTGTAGTAAGTAAAGTTACTGAGGGCTAACAGTGAAATAAGACAATAGTTTGTCACTAAATATGCACATTTATTGTAGATTCAAACATGACCTCCTCCTGCAAGACCACATGGGCTTCTTTCAGTCTCCCAATGTTTTAAAATTTTACCTTAAATTCAAGACATTCTTCGTCCACCTGTTTGATACATGCAGATTTGCAAAATGCTTCCATAATACACTTTGGAAAATCATGAAGAAACAAAAACGTTTTATGTGCACAGACACATTACAACACTTTACATTACAGCCTTTTCCCCACTGTTTTACATGAAGGGTGAACAAGTGTATTTGGTGTAGGGCTGTGCAAAGACAAGGTCTGAACACTTGAGGTTTAAGCTTTTTTTTTTAACCCTTTAAGGCATTCCTTCAAAAAGCTTTTGCCTCGGTTGCCTTCAGGATACTGCACCAAGGTCTTTGTGCAGAGATCTTTTACTCATAGAAATCACCCATGTAATGTTAAGCAGTGCATAGGCCTACTTTATCAGCTAAATTAAAACCTGCTCTAATATTTATAAGCATAGGCTTAAAATGACATTTGATCCGTGATTGCTATGAACTCATTTGATGTGTGCAACAACAAAGTCAAACAAAAACGTTCTAATTAATATCGACTAATTCTGAAGCAAACACACTACAGTCAAATACAAATGCATTCACCCTCACCTGCTAGCACATGAAAGGACATATCGTGAGCAAACAGTAATGCATTCAAGTGCTTTGCTCAGCTACAGAGAGACTTACATGCAAAAATCCAGCAACGTGACTAATATAGCATTTGGGCTCTTCAGTTTGTATTTTTGATTCATCAAAGGCTATTACAAAATACAACAGATGAACGGAGGCACGACTGTCCGCCAGCATTTTCACTATCACTTAATTGGTCATATAGCTGATTATTGGACTGTGGAACAAATTCGACACGTGTAAATTCATAGTGGAGAAAAATGTATTCTCAAGAACTGCAATTTCTAATCAAATCATGTTTAAACTGAAGAATATGATGCCATAGAAATAATTTGGTGCTCCAATTTAGACTGTTAAGAAAAGAGAGGGAGAGAAGGGCAAAGAGACAAATGGGCATCGGCAGTGGTCACCGCTTTAGGCTACACTATATCAATTGGTGTGAATTAAAAGGGAAGCAGCCTCAGCAAGGTAGGTAAGAGGAGCAAATGAGAAATTGAGAAAAGAGAAGCAAATTGATGTGCATGATGTAATTCGCAGAAATGACGAGAGGAAAAATAAGGTGGGAGAGAGACACGCAAGATATTGACGCAAGAAACTATCTATCTATCTATCTATCATTGCATTGGAATTTACATTTTCAACACTTCCAAAACACTTTAAGGGGAACTTTACGCAGAGCAATGCGTATTGGCAAAATAGCCAAACCGGTTTGTGAGTGCGCGCTAGAGAAAGAAAGAAAGAAAGAAAGAAAGAAACGAGGAGGTTTCAGGACTGTTTCACTGCTCATACACTTACCCGTGCGTATTTGGATGAATAGGGGTCTTCGAACAGCGCCCACATATTGGGCTGCCACACCTGCCACCACGTCGCCCTGCGGCCATCCTCCTGCATGCAGAGCCGCTTCAGGTCACCATCTGCCCCGCCGGTGAGTGCCGGGTCATCTAAGGGTTCTTCTGGCTCGGGGGTCTCAAAACTGTCCAGGGCTTCCTCTGCGTCGCGATGCTGCCGGTAGTTCATCCAGCAGCACGCCTCCACGTCTGTTTCATCGATGCCCCAGAAGGCAAGCTCCTCCTCAAAGAGGGGCCCACAAACATCACCGGGGCAGTGGAGCTTACCGGTGCGGTAATAGTTGAGGATGAAAGCGAAGGTGGCCGGGTGGCGGTCGAAAAAGAACTCGTCGCACTTGGGGTTGTAGTCGAAGTTGCTGTAGGCGTCGGGCTCGGTAAGCCAAGACAAGCGCGTCCCCGGCAGCGTCTTCAGGGTGCTCCGGTAGGTCTCGTGTCGGATCCCACCGCAGTTGATCACGATCTTCTCGCTATCTGACGCCGAGCAAGTCATGGCTGCGCTGGGGCATGCTTCGGTCGGTGCGCCCGACTGCTGCTGCTGCTGCGGCTACTTTCCGTCCCCATCCACCGCCGGTCCACGCTCTGTAAACTGCTGTTATACCGTCCCGGCAAGGAGTCAAAGGACCAACTGATGAGGAGGAGGAGGAGAGAGGAAGGAGGAGTCTGCGTATTTATGTGTGAGAGAGAAGGAGATGTCTGCAAGTGTGTGTATGACGAAAAAGCGTAGAGGGAATAGCCTATGTGGGATGCGGAATTTATGAATAGATTTTTCCGTTGAAAGACTGATCATCCTATTAACTACCTATTTGAATTTACGTTTTAGATCATTTGATGTTATGAAGGTTACTACGACCTTTTCTGCAGAACAAATCAATTGAAATTTCGCTGTTTCGGCTCTCTGGTTCTGTTGAATTTGCTGCATTCTGGGCTTGAACTGCAAACACCGAAGATTTATGGAACAGAGGAGCAAAGGGAAAGACAGATTGAATGACTGTTTTACATTGGTAAAGCCCAACTGCATGGCTTGCAAAAATTAGCACTTGTACCTACAACGCACCAATAAGCAAATAAAAAAGCTTTAAAATCTATTCGACTGTCCGCAAAATGTTGAACATGGTGACAGGGATTTGCTCCTATTCAGACACAGCTGCATCAGTGAGGTCCAAAACTGATGTTGGGTCTCTTCCTGAGCGGTTCAAAACTAATGCTGACACCGAGATAGAAGAAACACAATGTCTCAAACTTCAAGTCTACAGTCGTTGCTTCATCCAATAGTAAAAGTCGTAAGATTTCCCTTATAGCCTTAATTTAAGCCTCACCCACAAAGGCATAGGCTATTTCATTAGTATTATATTAGTATTATTCTGGTTGATTATACCTGACCAGTTGAAAATAGGTAAAGCTATGGTTAGAATTTATGATGTGATAAATTCTAAGCACCAATATGATAAAGGTTATCAGGTCCTCTTTCCCAAACGTTTCTTTCAAAATTTACAGGATAGTGGAGCTGTCAGTCAACAGAGTGACTCCGAGATCGAAAGGCGGCACCTGGCACGTGCCACAGCACATGGAAATGTTGCTTTGTTAGGCCTGTTCGACATGGCACAATAAATTCAACAGCATCTGCATTTGCTGGTGGCCAGTCGGCAGGCCGTCCATGTAAGCACTCATATTTTAACTGCAGAATGGCCAATCTTCAAACCACAATGATTCATGATTCAGGTTACATTATTACCATAGGACTCGCTTTCAGATATTTACTGCCATAAGTGTGTACTTTCTTTTCTTTATTGACAATAACGTGACTTAGCCTATTAAAAGATTTAATACGTTTATATTGTCCCTTTTCCATTTTTGCTATTGAACGTTTAACTGTCTGGTATCTCCTTGAAGACAGAAAAGTATTTCATACATTCTGTATCAGAAAGCTCGAACCAGAGCTTATCCCAGCTAACAACGTTAGCCTAGCCACAACACCAGTGTAATGTAATTAGCCTACATAAAAATGTAATTATATTGCCGCCAACTGGCAGAGACCTATCTCTATAAAATTAACACAATGATAGCGTTCAATAGAACTTACAAGGTGTAATCAATATGCAGTCCAATACACCATTCATACACTTGTCGGTATAAAGGATTAATGCTGTGTTCACACAACATATTAGCCATAAATGTAGCCCATTTCCTCAAGGCGGAGGTTTATATAATGCGTACTAGTGGGATCACACTTTCTGCTTTTGCCTACTCTGACAGGCTGGTTGGTATCAGATTTGGCTGCTCAATATAAACCTTTTTTTTAGTTATAGGTGCAACACCATGCTCCTTCCATTTTAACTCTTTCTTATAGAACACATTTGTAATTTTTTATTACGGTAAAGTGGCCTACTAGCATGCAGTTGTGTTAACGTTGTCAACCCTGACTACAATTTGGTAGGCTAACGTTCAGCTGCTAAACTGCCATTGTCTGTACAACAATGTTGCTGTATATTATTTGCCACTCAACAGGGACTCGAGGGAAGAGGGCAATTAAGAAACTCTTTGAATTGATTGTTCATTAGTAAACTTGTGTATGAATGACATCGGTCTGCATAACCCTTGATTGGTTAACAGGGATCTCAGCATCCCGTGCTCAGCACCTCTATTCTCACAAGACTCTGGCGTTGACCTTTTACCTTTCAGAAAAATCACGTTAGCAAGGTGGCTTGCAAAATCTGCCTTAAATCACAAAGGCGATTTGGAGTCTTACCAGCCTCCACAACCTCAAACATTGTCAGGCAGATTTAGTACGAGAAGGAAATATGAGGAAGGAAAACTTTACAAAATTCCACCAGTCCGTATGTCGTGTTCCGTCAGAATCCGATTGCTCCCTCTCTAGTCAATGCTCGTGTCTCCACTGCACGTGCCGCAGTCTGTATCCGGAGCATGCTTGATTTGAAAAATCTCATTCCTTTCTTCAGTTGATTAGACATCCTCTAACAGAGCAAGCTTTTGCTGCTAGTTGATGCAATGCAGGAGTTTCAGGTAAAGAGAAAGGTCAGTATCAGCCAGCCCTGTGTCTTTACACTTTAACTGTGCCAACTGTGTCCTGTTTCCTGTTACATCACTGTTAAGTCATTTCATCATATTAAGAGTTAAAGCAATTGATAGGGTTGGCAACTATTTTGGTACCAAATATGGTACTAAATATTTTTCAGTTACAGGAGTTCTGTGAAACAGATGTGAAATACTCCTTAACTGACAAATTATACCACAGACCTTCATTTTAGATCTTTTTAAAACAGAAAGTGAAGACCAAAGTTTCACAGTCTGTCACTGTGTTCAAGATGCAATTATTATAGAGGAGACAAATATTTTTTGATTCTTACTGTATCTTGAGACCCCCTGTAACCCCCTTGCTGATATTGTTGTACCTTTTGCTAGCTTAGCCTTCTTGTGCAACTCTGTAGCAGCTTGCTGTGTTAAGTCATTGAAAAATTCCAGATGGTATAAAGAGCAAAAGGCTTTCAGTTTTGTCGCAGCCACCTTTAACTAAGCCATCTTTGCTTCCTATTGCTTGTTGTAGAGGCAAAATATTTTCTATTTGATCGGTTTACACATATTTTAATCCCCACTTGTGCGGCACAAGTCAACCAAACAACACCATCCATGAATGGAACTTCACAGGATTCAGTGATTTTGTTGCGAGCTTAGGGGGTTAGGTGACATTTGATGGACATGATCAGTGCCTGATGGGCTAATGGCTGTCTCAGACCTGATCTAGGATCGTTAAAGTGTCTTCTCGTGATTGGAGAGAAGTAACATCAATATACTGGACAAGCTGCTTTCGCTTGAGATGAACAAATTTTGTTTGAATTATGGGATGTCCCGGTTAAGGCGAGACGGTTGGCAACCCTAGATAAAGATATAGGAAGCTCAACTGTCAGCCCCCAAAAGCCCTGGAAATAGCCCTGAGGGCCTGATTCAATAACATTTAACTGTTTTTTTTGTTTTAACACATTTTCCTTGTATGTCCTGCTGATTTTACATTGGTCTGTGTTTTTATCTTACATTGTAAAGCACTTTGTTTTTAAATGTGCTTTATGAATACATTTGGATTCATCTTTATTCTACTGGTTTGATTACCAAGTCAGTTTGTGTTGTAGAGGAGTCCTCTGCAGGTCATTCTGCTCCCAGTAAAAGCCCAGTGAATGATTAACACTGAGGGGAGCTCATTTGAGACTTGTTTTGTATATTTTCCAAGGTATAATGCAGCTTCTCCTGATTTATACTTTAAACTAAATCCAGCAAAAAGAGGTGAGTTTCAACTGAAGAACAAAAAAACAAATAATTTGAACCCTCAACTTTTAAGTTGGGTTCAGACCAAAAGTGAAGAACATATTTGCCTTCTCACAGGAGTTTGAGGGCATGATCATTTAGGTTTATCCATATTAAAAGCAAAGCAAAAAAGTACAATCTCCGAAATAAACACTGTCTGTTCCTGGAATTTGACATCTCTGGAACTACTGTCATTTTTTTTCATCTTAACTGTTCCAGTAAGTCTTGTGGCACTTTCACACTTGCACAAAACTCCTGAAAACTTCCTGAACGTTTTGGGGTGAGTTATTTTTTACAAATCCATACAGCTGAATTTTTTTTAACTCCAACTTACCCACATTTTTTCCAACATGCCCTCTAAAAATGTTTTAATGTGAAGTCAGGGTGATCTGATGTGAAGAAGCAACAGGAAAATTCAACTTGAGTAGGAGGAGGTGATGACACTTATATCCTGTAACCACAGCACAACCATAGGCTGTGTTGCAATCTCTGTGCACTGCAGAAACTGCTTTGTGATGTTCTCTGTTTACCGTTATGTCTCTACTCTTTTGTTACACTTCGATAAACCTAAATATAAAAGCAACAATTGTCATAATAGTGTCGCACAAATCACAGTGTAGTAAAAGTCAATGTCATATTGTCAATTTTTCAATACATGCTGGGCATACAGAAATAACGAACCACAGTGCAAGCTATAAATATATATTTAGTATAAATAAGTATATAGTAGTATAGTATATATAAGTATAAAAAGATTTTAAAAATATAATACAAAAATGCCAAATATAAGGATAAAAAAAAACAGATATATTGGAAAATAACTAATGTAAGAATTTCCCTTTTATTTGTTTGCATCCTGTATCCTGAAATTAATTTATGAATGTTTTCTAAGTATTTTCTGTGCAACACAAAAACTAGTTTTAGTGTAGAGCCAGAAAGTCCAACTGGCTGGCCGGTTGGCAGTGTTTGAAGGGTCAAACTCAGGATTTGCATCCTTTACACTGGAGTTCCAGACCAAAGGTCAAACTTAAATTTTCTGAAACTGAAAAAAGTAACATCACAATTTGGCTTAAGTGACCTATTATTAAGTTTCCTTGATTTAACTTACTTTTAAGAAAAACCTGGATTTTTGTTGTCAGCTTTCCAAAGTTTTGGTGCATTAAGTTTAGGCACCAAAAATGAGTCAAGTGTTGTGCACCAAAACAGGTTTAGGAAAAGACAACAATTTTAGGTCAAAGTATGGTTAAGTTTTATTTATGTTCATTTTAATGTAGAGTGAGCAGCTTTCTCTTGGATGTAAGAGAAAGGACTACGGGCAGAGAGCCCAGAAGCCCTGAAGGCTGCAGGAGAAGAGGTTTTTACCACCGTCACTGGATGCATTTGAGCTGAATCACTTAAAAGACTTGGCAGGCATGACCATCCCTTGTCTCCTCTTTTTGTTTTTGGTAGAATTTAAAGTGAACATGTTTAAGCTAAGCAGCCAAGCATTATGTTTGGACTAACCTCCATTTACAGATTCTAGAGAAATGTAGAACCTGCACACAGTAGAGCCATTTTCACATATGCACTCTGGATAATATCTAGATATTTACAGGAGGACTTCTCCAGAGATTCTCTCGACCTAGCCGTTCACATATGCTCCTCACAGCGGGGGACTTTCCCTGTCAGAGGGGAGGGGGATCGGGGGATTTCCTGAGGTAAGACGTGGCGTAAATAAACAGCGCGGAAGTAGCAGCCGAAACAACAGAGTCCGCTACACGACGTTATAATGAGAATATTTGTCTTTATATCAATGCTATGTGTAATCCAATGGAATGACAACATCCACTAAAGAGAGGAGAACAACATACTGATGAACAGGAAACATAATGCAGCTGATTAATTAGAGCACGGGGATCGTAGTGGTCGCGTGCAGACACTTTAGCCGGTCACTATATAAACGTCACTCTCTTCCTGTTGGCTCAAATTGAAATCTCTGGAGTATATGCTGCCGCGTTCAGACATCAGCTCACTCGGATTTTCTGCGGATAAAATACTAGGGGTTTGGTCAGAGAAACTCCAGGTAAAGTCCGCGCGAAAAATGTGGCTGTTTGCATTCACACATCCTAAAGAACCTCCGGGTAGCCAAATCTCTGGAGTTTTTCAGGAGATTTCCGTATGTGTGAAAAGGGCTTAGGGCTTGAACAGACTTGTCGACTAGTGGACTGGTCAACTTTACTTTAACCCTGTGATGACAATTTATGCCTGATGTCGGCTGATCGCTTTTTAGGATAGAATATGAAAACAGATATATGATTTATTTTTTGTCCACATCATGATGTTGTTATTTCCGCAATCTTGATTCCTTTTAATTGCAAGTAAAACACAATATCATAATTTTTTAGACTTACACTGCTTAAGTGAGCCAGAGTGAAGACACTGTACAACTCGTACTTTTGAACTGAAACTCCAAAGATGAACAGGCGTTATACTCAAAGATGTCATGGACCATGAAATGACTGCGTTTACGTTGCAGATGTGATGCCGCTTGCAAAAGGAAGTCTTGACTGGAGTTGTTCAATGCTAACTGCTGGCCTTACCAGAATTACTGAAACTTAACATCAGTTCCCAGAGGCATATATTCACTTTTATACAATGTTCCATCTTCATTTGGAAGATTTGGACAGATAATCAGTATAGGAAAAAAGGTCCTCAGTGCAATACAACCAAGGTCTAAATCATTAGTGAAACGTGAGGGTCCGATGTGTGGTGGATGGCTCACTCCAGTTAAGAGAAACAGAAGGATGGAGACGGATAACTTTCTCAGCAGCACTTTACTGTCATCCACATTGTTCTGCTACACAACAACACAACACTTCCTTGTTACTCATCACATGTCCCGTCATTAGCCAATCAGAGGTTAGGATGATTAAACTCAAGGCAAACATTATGACAAACACAGAAGTAGATTCAATATAATTTGGTCACAGTTACTAGGTGCTACTGCAAACATTAAAACATGTAAGTATATCAATATTAACTTTTTAAACTCAAATATGTAAATAGTTCACTGTATAAATGTTAACTTATTTTTAACTTAAACTTAAATACATGGATTAACTCAAATATATGAATTTACTTAACTTTTAAATCTTACATTAGGTTTAGGTGCTCGGATTTGGAAGGTTAAAAATGGCTTTAATATCAATATTGATCAAAAGGGGGGGCTTGAACATCGCGTCTCGCTTTATGCTGACGATCTCCTCCTTTATGTGTGTGACCCCCTGACAAGTATTCCACCTATCCTTTCCCGATTAATCAACTGGCTGCAGAAATGTCATCGCCGTCCATACCATTTAAAATATCTAACACAGGAATAAAGTACTTAGGTGTGATGATCACGCGTACCATTCGTACACTCCGTGAAAAAAATGTCACTGCTTTAACTGCTGCAGTCAAATCAGATCTACAGAGGTGGAATTGTTTGCCACTATCTCTGGCGGGAAGGGTACAGACTGTAAAAATGAACGTGCTACCCAGATATTTGAATTTATTTCAATGTCTCCCCATATTTCTTCCTGAGTCCTATTTTAAATCTATTAACAACATCATTTATTTTTTTATTTGGGCTGGTAAGTGTGCAAGAACGGGTAAAATCTTACTCCAGAGGAGCAGGTCAGTGGGTGGTCTTGGGCTACCTAATTTTATCAGCTACTATTGGGCAGCCAATGTTCACAAAATTATACTTTGGTTTATCTCACCCCAGTGCAGGTGGTGCCGATTAGAGGCTGACTCCTGCTCCTCTTCTCTCCCATCTCTGGTGTGTGGCACCCTTCCCCTCTCTCCCTCTAGCTTCACGTCTAATACTATGATAATAGGTACACTTAAAATATGGTCACAAATTAGACGACACTTTGGGTGGCTCTCCCTCCCTAAAGCGACGCCCATCTGTAATAATCACCTTTTTATACCAGCTAGGATTGACCCACGATTTGCATCTTTGGAGAGGAATGGCCTGAGCTGTCTTGGTGACTTATACGTTAATGATGTTTTTGCCAGTTTCAACCAATTACGTTCTGCATTCCATTTAAATGGCTCAGACTTTTTTCGATATTTTCAGCTCCGTGATTTTGCTAGGACCCACTCACCGGCATTTCCTCATGTTCCAAACCCCAGTGGCATTGATTTGGCACTCAAGGCAAGAATCTTGCCCAAAGGTCAGGTTTCCTTCCTTTATGACCTCCTGTTCACAACTGACGAGTCCACGGTAAAAAAGATCAAGGCTGATTGGGAAAGCGAATTACAAACCAACCTTTCTGAGGATTTCTGGGAAAAGGTGCTTGGGGCTGTTAATTCTTCTTCTAGCTGCGTTAGGCTGTCTCTTATCCAGTTTAAGGTGCTCCACAGACTTCATTACAGCAAATATAAACTCTCCAGAATATTTCCGGATACAATTGATGAAACTTGTGGTAGATGCTCTCAGGCTCCTTGCAACCTGACTAACATGTTTTGGTCCTGTTCTAAATTAGTTAATTATTGGTAATCCTTCTTTAAGTCCATCTCCGACATTTTAGGTATAAACATCAATCCATCCCCACATATAGCTATTTTCAGTAGGTCTCCTGACGATCTTGCCACCTCGACCACTCAGGACAATGTTATTGCTTTTGCCTCTTTAATTGCCCGCTGGAAAATCCTTCTCTTATGGAAATCTTCACAACCTCCCTCCTTCAAAGCATGGCTGCACGATGTCTTATTTCTCCTTAAGTTGGAGAAAATTAAATTCTCTCTTAGAGGGTGCTCTGATAGGTTTTATACTCACTGGAGACCTCTGCTTCAATATTTTGAGAAACTCTCACCTGACAAGGTATTGTAGTAGTACAACTCTCGTGCCTGTCCAGCCGCCCCCCCCTCCTCCTGAGTCAGGGCAAACCTGTGTAATTAAATACCAAATTTTATGTTCTGACCATACTTCTTTCTGTGCACGGGTTCTTCAGCCGCTTAGGTGGTAGCCTGGATGTGAGCTGAGCTAAAAGGGAAGCTGTTGTCTTCCCTTTTATTGCTCAAGTTGAGCAGTGTGCATGAGTGATTTTTACAGGTTATACTGTTTTTCCTATTTGCCTATGTGGTATGCTCATAACGACTTTCATTCCTGTCAATGTTGTTTGTTAATTTATTTATTCTTTTTTTTTTGTTTATGTTTGTCTCGTCAATTTTCATTATTATTGTTTATTTGGTTTTATTTGGTTTTTGTATTTTATTTATTTTCTCTGTGAAGTTTTCCAATCTTGCACTTTTATTCTTGTCTTTAAACTAAGAGGTCTATTTGTTGGTCTGGGAGGGTTGTTTACAGGGCAAAGGGATACTGGGTTTTTGAATGTTTCTGAGGGAAAAGAAAAATGTTGACTGTATCCCAATTGCACTGTATGTTTTGAACTTGCTTTAATAAAAATATGTTGATAAAAAAAATATCAATATTGTAACTATTTTAAAGGTTTTAAAGAATTACCTTTTAAATTAGCTAAAAACATGAAAATCTTAGTTTTCCACATTTTTTACTCGCTTGCTTACTTTATCTGAATTGGCAAGCTAGCTAAACCTTTAGCTAATCAATTTGGTCAACAATAGTGATTCAATTTAGACAAAAAGTGTTTACACTTAATGTGAAAGCCTGATGTTTGCTGTTATTGGTTTAGTACCTGTAGCTGCTGCCTTGATTATTTAAGCAATGCTTCAATTGATTGATTGAAATGGCACATCCTTTTGTAGCTTTCATGTCTGTGAAGTGTTTGCGTGTATTGATAAAATGATTTGAACGTTAAAAAAAAAGGTTTGTTGGCTAAAAGGGAAAGACTGCTTTCGTATACTTCTGTCCTAAATCAAGAGCCTTTTGTTTCAAATATTGGTAATTTTCTATATAATTTATCGTACGTATAGTTAAAGTATGTAATAGGCTGCATCCATGTTGTTTGCATGTACCATTATTTATACACATGACCACAGGGCTTTTAAGGTACAGATAATTAAAATGATACTGACCCTGTAATGTACTTAAAGCTGCTGCATGGGTAAAACAGTTCCTTTTTTAGGGAAAATGTTGATTGACAAAATATCCATCACAGAAACTGTATAGTTAAGCATGTAATATCTCAAAGTGAAATCACCTGAGTTTCAGTACCTCAGCACTCTACTTAGGATTTGCGTACTGCATGAAAATGAGTCTCCTTTACCAAAGGTCTCATCTGTCCTCTCTCTCTCTGCTGCATCACTTACTCTCGTTACTCCCTCTCCACACCGTCTTTCAATCTACTAAAACACTTGGCTCAATTAGAGCAGAGCAGGAGGGATATGATAGAGTGTTTTACGCCCACTGCCCCTTCCCTCTCTCGTTCTCTGTTCCTTTCCAAGAGAGTCCCTCCACCGGCAAGAGAAGGAGAGAGAGAGAGAGAGAGAGGGAGAGAGAGAGAGTCCAGAAGCAGAGCGATATTTGCTGAGCTCCACAAAATAGGAAAAAAGACTGCAGACCATCAGATCATTAGTGCGCTCCCATTTTCTCTCTTTTTCTCTAGCATGTGGTATTCTCTCCATTTCTCCACCTCTCCTTATCATCTCCAATGTGTGTCCTCTCTCTTGCCCTCTCTCTCACTATTGCAGAGCTAATGTGCTGAGAACAGTCTGCAGTATGTGCTCTGCTGTATTAGGTGCACTACGACGTCACTAAGAACACACACACACACACACACACACACACACACACACACACACACGTACTAAAGCCTGATGCTTTGGAATACCCTCAACCACCCACATGCAACCAATCTCATACATAAGCTTATCATGTTGTTCACACTTATACACTCAATCCCTCCTCCTCCCATATAGGAGCCAGTCACCTTTTAAAGGGATAGTTGGGTATTTTTGAAGTAGGGTTGTATGGGGTAATTGTCATTAGCAATGCTGTAGTACTGGAGTCTAGCTCAAACCCTAAATTTTGATGACTTGTGACTCGACTCAGACTTGTGCACTAACAGTGTTCTCCTTGTTTTATCAGTTAGGGATGGTGGCCTGGTCCCTGCAGTGAGAAGGAGGCCAAAAAAAAAAAATTCTGATAAATAATGGATGGGTTGCAGGTATTTTTGAGTTTATTAAAGGGAAACTTCACCCATCTGAATTAAGCTTTGTATCATTGGAAACCTGGTAGTATTTTTGAATGGTCGTGCATCCCGCCCTCATTTCCCCCTGAGACGGGAAATCTCCATATTTCTTGTCTGAAAAGGATCCTCCGATGACGCAAAAAAATCGTCATTTTGCATCATTGGAGGCTGCTTTGGTTAGAGGGGGTGAAACTACATCGCTAGTTCCTTTTGTTTTCAACCCACCCATAGGCGGTTTCCTTGTTCTGATTGAACATCCTGGTACAAAGCAATAATTCACCATTACTTCAGAAGTCTTCATGAATTTGCCAACCAACTCATCACTAGAAATTGTGTGTGAAATGAATTTTGCCTCAGTCTGGTAGCAGCTAGCTTGGTAGGCAGAAGAGCGATTTCTCTGGTCGCCGGGTTCTCTAGCTTCAGTGGAAGTGGCCTGCGGTGCTGTGCATTCTGGGAGTTGTTGTCTTTCATCAAAATTTGCCAAAAAGACACTTTCTGCCTTTTCTCGGTCAAGAGGGCACCAACTTCAAAATGCATTTCACATTTCTACTACATATATGACCCAATGTCAATACAGATTCATGTTTCAATTGGTGAAGTATCCCTTTAAACACCTGCATTGATCCTAATGCAGCATAAATGATTAGTGGTATTAGTAGGGACTTGACTCAGTAATGGAGACATTACTCAAACTATACTCCAATTTTTCTTTGGTGACTCGGACTGGAGTCGGGTAACGGGGACTTGACTCAGATTTTTCTTTGGTGACCTGGACCTTACTTGGACTTTTAGCGCTGGGGACTTGAAACTAGTCTGCAACTCCTACAGTATATACCTGTTCTTCCGCCTGTTCATACTGATTAGCTGTTCAGGTCTACAAGCTTCAAAAGTGACAACAAATACAACAATATTTAAAAAAAATAAAAAATAAATTCAGCAAATTTATGACATGTTGTTAACTGTGGATATAAGAGATACTTTTATCCAGCAGATAACACAGAGGAAACAAGCACGTTTAGCGCCTTTTCAAGAGCACCCTTAAGCATCTTTTTCAAGGTGTGTTTCCTTCCTTCTTAAAACATTGTGCAATGCTAATTTCTTTTAACCTTTGTTAAAACTTTCATTTTAATTATAATTGTGACCTATATGACATTTGCACAAGTTGAGAATTAGACTACATTCCTTATAGAAAAAAGACACACCTCTAAAAGAACACACGCCCATTTTACAAACACAGACCTATGCACAAATCCTTAAGGAGATGGACAGTGCATTAGCACATGTAAACACACACACCCATACGCACACTCAGTTAATTAATTTAACATGCTGACTAAGGAGCTACGGAGCTCTTTGCAAGAGGACACATGCACACAAAGTACACGTATATAAAGTGCACACATGGGATGACACAAAGTCAACCTGGAGAGATCTGTGTTTGTTTTGACATTGCACCAGTACATTGGGTGTGTGAGTGTGTGGATGACAAAACACTTATAATATACAGTACCAATACTTTTTATTACCTCCTAAAACATCCCAGTAAGTATTTTTTTATTCCAGCCGACATCTGACATGTGCAGACGGCAATGACCCCTCCATTTACTGTCAACTGTGACCCGTTCATATAAATGGCTCATCACTTCTCTCCATTTTCAAAA